CAATTCTAATAGATTTACACTTTGACAATAAAAATTAAAGTTATGATAAAAATACATTAACTATACCTTTATTTATTCGTATTCTGCAGATTTCGCTCTCAAGAGCGTGATCAGCTGGCCCAAACGACCACGCGCGAGAGCAATGGTGAGGCCCTCGCAGTAGACGCAATGGACCGGGGATATACGATATGGACGGTAATGGACGGGGATACGCGGGGAATCGATGGGCGAGTCGACGTTAACCGAGAAGAGACCGCCTTCTCTCTCTACCGTTTTGTCCTTTTTGCCTTCCTTCTCTCTGTCTCCTCTGGGTCCCCCCTTTCCCCCCCTCGTGACGAGCTCCCAGTGAGAGCATGCACCTACCTCCACCTTCCTTCCCACCCTCGTTCTCCCACGCTGCACCTGTCGTGCGCACGAGAGCGTCGGGAGAGGTGGTAGAATAAAGCTCTAGCCGGGCGAGCGCACGTACTCGGTAAGGTCGAAGCTAAATCCATTTATCTCGCGTACATCGGTGTTACGTACACGTTTACGAATAGAAGAAAAAAATAGAGAAAGAGAAATATATAGTGCCAAACTCGCAGAGACACAGAAGAATTTTCTCTCGATGCTTTAAATTGCTAAAAAAAAGGCTTTCCAAAAGATGAGAATTTTTTTGAACGTACAATGTATTGTGAAATTAAATTATAGCGAAAAGTGAATTAAAGTTTACGCGTAAAACAAAAGAGGATATCAAGAACTTTGAATTATCTCGAATGGTTGCTGCAATAATCTGTAATGTTAATTATTATTCTTACTATTCATCGCACACGCAGCTTTATCGATATAATTTTATCATAATACGCTATTATATAACTAAAACTAAAATACACATTTTATTTTAAAAGTATAATAATTTCGTAAATAATTTAAAAACGTAGAGACATTTTACACCTTTTTACATTTTTATTTTTACATCGTGAGTTGTAAAAAAAATATTACAGTATTACATGAACACACAATAAGTATAAAGTTACACATTAAATAATGAAAATGTTATACATTTCTATCATTTATTGTGTAATTTTACACGTATTGTTCATGTAATTTCACATATTTTTTTTTTACGATGTGATTCATGGAGATGCCGAACACCACTTGGAATCTAACCGGGATTCGATTTCGCGTGCATCTGTTATTAATCTTAGTCGGGGGATAGCGTAAGCTAGCGCGAGAATCGAAGGATCCCTAATCTAATCTACTTGGCCGATTAAAGGCCGGGGTCCAAGCGGGACGGCGATTCAAACCTTCTCGAGCGCCCTTTCTGCTTCGGAGAACGACAGGCCTGCTCGCTTACATGTAATTAAGTGTTTCGTTTGGGTGGACCCGATTACGAGACACTTCTAATTATTATGCTCTGCCGTCATGTTAGTCCGTTGTTTTGCTTGTTACGGTAGTGGACTTATCGGTGAGCAGTTTTTGGTCTCTCGCAAAAGGTCCCCTTCAAGCCTATAAACAATGTAACTATCTATTTGTCAAAAGTTTGCGACGAGAGTCAACTAGCTATTTACGTGCTTGATGTAAATTAATTGCATCTTCCAGCATATAATTTTATAATAATTATTTTGGAGAGTTTTCTAATTGTCACATAATATTTTCTTTTCCTCCAAAGAGGATGTATTCATTTATTTTTAAATTGGAATAATGGCGTTTTGTATTCTGAATAAATGCAAGTTTTTCCAATAATGAATATGCGAAAGTAAATTGAAATAAATATCACGATTCTAATTTTAAGTTAAAGTAAAAATATTGTTACGGAATATTATTAAATATGTATAATTAGTGTAATATCATATAATCATAAATAATCATAGAGAACTTACATGTTTTTCGCTTAGATCCCGAGTTCCACTACTATAACGCGAGTGTAATTCTGCAGAGTCCAGTCTGAAAATAAGTCTTTTGTCAGAGAGATTCTCTTTTTCATGATGCTCGCGGATTAGTAGGCGTGCACGTGCACGCCCGCGAGATCCTCTGATAAACGATCCGGTATCGCTGGCAAAAGAAGGATCTTCTTTCCGCGAAAACGAGGTTGCCCCGCGTTAGAGCGTGGGCGGGGTGAAGTCTTTCTTTTTTTTTCATTTTTCCGCACGCGGACCTACCTGTCTGTGTCGAAAGCTCGATGAAGCGCTGTTCAATCTTTCGTCAAGACGGAAACAGATATATATATTTATAAATCCTGATCGCTCACTTGACAGTTGTATCTTTTGTCAAACACACTCTTTTCATAAGCGTTATATTTTTTAATCAAGATGTATTAAATTTATATCTCTTTTATAAATAAATAAAATTAGAAGTCATATATGCATGAATTTGTGTCAATAATAATATATTATTTTAGTAATAATAACACAATTACAGATAATATACGAGTTATAAAATTGATAAAAAAAACTTTGAGATCTATTGCCATATTAATTATAAGTACAATTAAGGAGAGAAGGAGAACACGTTAAGTGAATTAGTTTTGATAGGTATTTATTTTCATAATGATGAGTGTGTGTGTTCTTTATAATCGATCTATAATATACATCGTAGCATTCGGTTTATACATAATTACAATTATAAATCTCGTTCGTCCTCTTAATGCGTAGTAGTAGTGGGTTCGTCGTGTGTCGCGGGAGAAGGGAAAACTTCGCTCGCTCTCTCGGGACGCGAAAATGCAAAACGAAGGTTCATAGAAAAACGCGCACCACATACATACGTACGCTCTCGAAGAATATATCTCGCGCGCACCGGCAAATTATACATTTATATCCGTAAATACGAAAATAAAGTATATATGTACAACCAAAAAATTATATTAGGAGGAGCTCGCACTCTCCAGGTTCTTGACCGAATAACTCCGAGTAATTTTCCTCGAACGACACAGGAGCGAATCCTCCGGCGCCAATTGATTCCCACGTGAAAACGGCAAGGCGATTTTACAAGTCTAGAGGAGGAAGTTACTCGCGGCAGTGCCCGCTACTGGCCGCTCTGGTGTCGATGTGTGAGTATGTGTGTGTGTTTTGTGTGAAGTTCCTAGGAAACAATAAATAAAATCTATCTATTCTCATTTATCTAGCGCGAAACGCCGTCGCTTTGATTTGCTGGTCGATCCATTGTGTACGTCCATCTATACCGATCGGCCGAATGTCTCCTATTCTTCAGCCTTCGAGCTCTCGAGGGTGTGCTCCCTCTCCTTAAAGTAAGATTGCATTTCTTTCTAGCTGCCATCGTCGCGACGTGATACACATCGCTCTCTTTCTCTTACTCTCTCTCTCTCTCTCTCTCTCTCTTCCTCTCCTCCTTTTATCCGATACACGCGTCCGGCTTCCTCTTTACATTTACAAAATTAATCGTTAACCCATCGCGTCGGACGCGTTGGTAGAGCTTAATCGATATAATTACGCGTTTACATCGAAAGGTACTATGTTTTATATTTTATATACAGTGGTAGTAACTGGTTACTGGTTAAATAGTGGCGTTATTCGCTAAACGTACGTTATCACAACGATGATAAAATTAGCCCTTTGGAACCGCGCCTCTAAATCCGCTTTTCTTCGTTCTTCCCTTATTCCTTCTGTGCCGATTCTTTTTCTTTATTCCTGATTATGTTAAATAATCCCGATAATGAGACTCGATTAAATGACATGACCATTCTCGACGAATAAGGGAAATCTAGCAGACGAGACGAAAAACTTTGGCCGAACGGTTCGCCATGTTCGGTTCTTCGGCATCGCGCTCGTGAAAAAAAATGATCGCGCCCCACGCGAATGTGAACATTTTCAAGGTCAGGCAGTTTAATCGACCAATTGAATTCTGAATTTATGCCAGCCAGTGCCATACTTATGATTCTTCACAATGATACGAAGGAAATGTGTTACGAATATATTCGCGTGCTGTTTCATTGCTCGCTTTCGAATTATATCAGGAGAATCAGAAAATCCAGAAGATTTTCATTCTCTTTTCAAAAATTTTCAAATTTTATATTCTGATTGAGTAGTATTTTCTTATAAGCAGAGATACCAATTAATACTGCATAATACGATTTTTGCCTTCTTAATAAAAATGAATGATTTTATATTTTTGTATAGCACATTTCCGAATTAATCTCATTAGTTTTCTTTAAAACCAATCTTTTTTCTAAAAATTATAAAGAAATTGCCGTGTTTACTATGTATTATTCATCTATGATTAAAGAAAATAAGATTCTCAAACGTCAATCAATGTAAAATTGTAGAATATCATATATATAAATATATATTTTGTACAAATTTTCTATATAGAGTATATATAAAATATAAATAAAAATTTCATTCTATAAATAAATATCAAACTCCCCTTTGATGATTATAGGTAGAATATTTACACAGCTTCAAATTCTGTGCTCTCTCAAATTAAAATCATCCAATTTTATTTAGAGTGTCAGAGAAGCTTTAAATATAATCATGTATTATGCATCATATTATTATTCAATGCAAAATTTGATATTGTCAAAATATTAAAGTATTTTGCACAATATTGTCAATTAATGAAGCGAGATAGACCAGTGATTCAACGCGCGACTTCTACCTTATCATCTCTGATAATGCATGAAATAAAATTTCCAGATTGACTAGATCAGCCCAACAAATATCCTGAATGAATCTGAGAAATGGAAAGAACTGGCAGGCAGATATTACCACATCGAAACTGGCTCCATACGCAGATCTTCGACGACCTTGATTAACGGGGACTATTTTGTATCAGCCACGTGATGGTCGATCATCCCGTACGCACTCCGCTCGATATTGCACGTTATTATGCATGTCCGTTGAACGTTTTAAATAAGGGCAACGTTCATGAGGACCGCATTGTCTGCCGACCCTACATAGAAACGAGATCATCGGTGATCGATCGATCGATTGGATCGAATCGTCGTTAGGATTTTGGCATCACAGTAGGGAATAATAATCTTGTCCGCGACCGCAGAACGAGATCGGTCACGAGCCGCTGCTGGTGGATAGGATCGGCAAATCGCGGTGGGCCTGGGGATCCCTGGAATGCGCGTCCCGCACGGCCCTGGAGCCAAAAACACGCTCGCAACCGGGTATGGTGCACCTAGCCTCCTCTTTACGATCGTCTAAGCCTGGCGAGGACATGGGCGAGGCAGACATATGCCTGTTGCCCTGTTCCTGGGTCAGTCTCGTTAGATGGTTCAGGTGCTGATGAGTGAGGCCGTTCAGACCGGCCAGATGAGATGCGAACGAAGAAAGGCCCGGAAAGGTGGCACCAAGATGCGGTGGCAGCAACAGCGGATGCGGTGGTGGTATTCTAGCCGCCAGACATATATATAAATATATATTTTGTACAAATTTTCTATATAGAGTATATATAAAATATAAATAAAAATTTCATTCTATAAATAAATATCAAACTCCCCTTTGATGATTATAGGTAGAATATTTACACAGCTTCAAATTCTGTGCTCTCTCAAATTAAAATCATCCAATTTTATTTAGAGTGTCAGAGAAGCTTTAAATATAATCATGTATTATGCATCATATTATTATTCAATGCAAAATTTGATATTGTCAAAATATTAAAGTATTTTGCACAATATTGTCAATTAATGAAGCGAGATAGACCAGTGATTCAACGCGCGACTTCTACCTTATCATCTCTGATAATGCATGAAATAAAATTTCCAGATTGACTAGATCAGCCCAACAAATATCCTGAATGAATCTGAGAAATGGAAAGAACTGGCAGGCAGATATTACCACATCGAAACTGGCTCCATACGCAGATCTTCGACGACCTTGATTAACGGGGACTATTTTGTATCAGCCACGTGATGGTCGATCATCCCGTACGCACTCCGCTCGATATTGCACGTTATTATGCATGTCCGTTGAACGTTTTAAATAAGGGCAACGTTCATGAGGACCGCATTGTCTGCCGACCCTACATAGAAACGAGATCATCGGTGATCGATCGATCGATTGGATCGAATCGTCGTTAGGATTTTGGCATCACAGTAGGGAATAATAATCTTGTCCGCGACCGCAGAACGAGATCGGTCACGAGCCGCTGCTGGTGGATAGGATCGGCAAATCGCGGTGGGCCTGGGGATCCCTGGAATGCGCGTCCCGCACGGCCCTGGAGCCAAAAACACGCTCGCAACCGGGTATGGTGCACCTAGCCTCCTCTTTACGATCGTCTAAGCCTGGCGAGGACATGGGCGAGGCAGACATATGCCTGTTGCCCTGTTCCTGGGTCAGTCTCGTTAGATGGTTCAGGTGCTGATGAGTGAGGCCGTTCAGACCGGCCAGATGAGATGCGAACGAAGAAAGGCCCGGAAAGGTGGCACCAAGATGCGGTGGCAGCAACAGCGGATGCGGTGGTGGTATTCTAGCCGCCAGATCGACCGCGGACGGCAAACTAGGTGCTAAGGGATATGCACCCAAGGCGCCTATGCTGGCGTCGGCGTAGAGTCTCGCCAGAAACTCATTATGCAGCAACGGGTTCATCTGCGGATCGTCGATGCGCGGTGATAGACTCGGCGGCAAGCTGGACGAGAGCGGTGGACTCGACGAGGTCGACAACAGTTTCCGGTGCAGGTTGAGATTCGCCGAATGGCGATCGCGAGATCGTTTCGAGGGGAAGGCCGCGTTACAACCGTCTACGCTGCAGCGGTGCATCAGTTTGAGGTGAACGTTTTGATAATGGGTCTTGACCCCAAAGTGATTCTGAAAGACTTTGCCGCAAGCCGTGCAACGGCGCGGGTTCTCACGGTCGAGTGGCACCTCCTGGGTGCTGACAAAGCCGCCATTCTCGTAACGCGCGTACGTGATCAGGCTATTGTCCGTATCCATGGCCGCTGTGGAGGGTGAGGCGCTGGATGAACGAGAGCCATGTGAGGAGTTGTCCATGGTGATCTCCTGGTGGATCGTGAGGCTGATAGGGCTGGTAGAGCCGCGGCCAGACCTCGAAGCCACCCGCTGCGTCTCGGCGTACGGCATCGCGCATCGACCCTGCGACAAGGACTCGAGTTGACGCAAAGTGTTGATCGAGGAGTCGTGGGAGAGGTCGTCGGCTGTCGTCGGACGGCTGTCGACCGAGCTCGGGGCACGGGGGGGATCATCGGGACGCTCACCTTCTTGATTGCGCAGCGCGTCGTCCGCATCCTCCTCCTCCAACTCATCATCTTCCTCGACCTCCTCCATGGGCTCATCGTCGTCGTCTTCCTCGTCCTCTTGGTGCTCCACCTCGTTCACTGCTTTCTTCTCCTCCTGCGCGGATGTCTCGGCAGATTCTTTCTTCGCGATTGCCTCCTCTTTTGCCTTCGTTTCGTTGCTCTCCGCGCTATGCTGTCGATCTTTCTGTTCAGACAACGTGGCGTCAGAACTCTTCACCGCAGCTGCTGAAGTTGTTGTTGTTGTCATCGCCCCGCTCGGCGTTGTGTTTGACGACGGTGCATTATCGATCTTTGGTTCCGGAGTGATCTGTCGTTTAGGCGATTTGATGCTGCTCGCTCTCGAGCTCAAGTCTCGTGGCTCGTCCTGAAGTAGATCCTCCGCGTTGTCGTGGGAAGAGAGAGTGTCGCGCCGATTATTGACGGACACTGTCGTCTCGCGCTCTCTATTGGCGGCATCCGGAGAGCGCGAGTCTGGTTCATGAAAACCGCCTCTGAGATTTCTCGGTGAGCCGGGAAGTATTTTCCGTTCTTCCGCTTCAAGCCTGGACATCGACATGTCTTCTGGTTGATTCTGAAACTCCGTCATCGGTGCTGGCGCAACAACGTTGTCCGACAGACAACGCCGTTGAATGCGTTGCTCCTCGTCGTTGGAAGAGTCACCATCCGTGGACGAGGAGTGCACTTCTACCGGCACGGCACATCTCGTAGGATGCTGGGACTTCCTCTTGCGCACGCCCCGGCTATGGAAGGAACTCGAGTTGAGCAAGTGTTGGTTCACGGAGAAAGATTGCTGATCGACCGTGCCCATCGAGTCGTTGTCCTCATTGCTGTCCGGATTGCTGGCGAGATCCTCATCGGCAGTGTCTCCGAAATAGAGTTTTGGTCGCTTCGCCAGACTAAAATCAGCCGGCTGCTCGTCGTCGTCGGCGCGGAGCGGCTGCAATCTGGACGGCAGATTGCTGGTTTCATCTTCCGCGACCACGACGATACCGCCGTCATCGTCATCGTCATCCTCTTCGCCTTCCGGTATCATGGACGACGCCTGAGTGGACGGCGAGACTGCGCCGCCACTAGGATACGAACCCCGCGCCGATGTCGTGGTCGTGGTAAGCGCGGCGCTCGACATCGCCATCGGTATTGTCGTCGAGGCCGTGGTGGTAGTCGACAGACTCGCGTTCACCGACATTCTCTGCTGCTGTAGCGCCTCATCGTACGGTCTGCCCTGGCCCTGCGTAGACGACAAATCCAGGTGTTTAAAGTCCAGCGCGCATAACGAGGCCGGTGAGCGGAGATCCGGCGGCGGCGTGAGCAACGGGAACGTGCCGAACGGCAGATGATTCAGTCCAGTGGCCGGTACGGGAAGCCCGACCTGCGGCGGCAACACCAGGGCGTGCGCCATAGAAGAGCGGCCGTCATGCGGCGAGATCTTGCGACGTAGATGCGGCGAGTGGAGCTTCGGATTTGGATTGGCGCTATGTCGGTTGCGCGATCTGCGCGAGCTGAACATCATGCTGCAACCTTTGACAGTGCATTGGTGCATCTCTCGCAGATGTACTGCGCTAAAGTGGATCTTCAATGCGCCCTTATCGCAGAAAGTCTTAAGGCAGACGTTGCATTGCACGCGTTTCTTGCCGGTGGTGGGATTGATGAAAGGCGTACCGAGGTTTGGCGGTAAATTCGCGGCGGCGCTCCACTGACTGCCTGGCCGTTTGCCCGGCGAGTGTGGCTTTCTGCCAGGTATACCGGATGGCCTACCCAACGGCGTACCCGGAAGGGATAACGACAGATGCCGTTGCTCGGAAGAAATTGCGTGCTTCGACAAAGCGGAGTCTCGTCTGCTCAAGTTCAGCGCACTATCCGAATTCTCCTCATCGTCGTCGTCCTCTTCCGAACCGAAATCACTGCTCTTCTCGCCGCCGCTGTGCACATCCGCGGGTATAGTTAACCCGGCACCGATTCCGCCGGGAGATTTGCCCATCGGTGGTGGCGGGAAGTGCGTCGGAAAGCTCGGCGGTAGCGCGCCAGAGGAGACGGCGACCGAGAGCGGATGGCCAAAGGTCAACGTCGACGAGGAGACCGGCGCGACTGGCATGTGTGGCCTCTGCAGTTGCGACGCCACGGACGAATGATGAGGCGGGCTGTGAGGGCTCTGTTGATTCCTCATGGACTTCCGATTCTGCAGAAGCTGCTCCGCGGACGGTGGCGGCGGCGGCAACGGCGGAAACGCCGGCAGCCCGAGAGTGCCCAGTTTCCGGAAGTCGAACGGTTGCATGCTCTGCAGTCGATTCAACGGCGATACCGTTAGGTGCGAATCCAGGGAACGCGGGGGTGAATTCGCTCTACTGGTGATACAGCCGATTGGATTCGATGACGAATAGTGCTTCTGTGCCGTGGGCGACATCGAGGAATGCGAAATCGACGACGGCGGTGGGTGCGGGGGCGGTGGTAGCGGGGGCGGCAACCGGGAACCCGGTGGCGGTAGCCCGCAATGTAGCATATGCAACGGGGGCGGCAAATGTGCTAGTGGCATCGTCGGCGGCGAAGGTCGTCTGCTCGGTGACATAGCATCCGTACCCGGCGTTCCGGCGGCCAGCAGCAGCTGCTGCACAAACGGACGCGTCTCGGCGAACCTGAGGAACTGCTGTAGAACCAGCGGCTCCTCCTCAGCCGAGCAGATACTCCATCGGTCCAGCACCGGGCCGTTTTGCGAGTCCTGCAAAAAAGAAGACGAAATTGATTAATCTCTTGAAACTTGAAGAAACGGTTTCATCGACAGAGTAAGTGTGTCAAAATAAGATAACGAAACAAAAAAGTTATTTAATTTCGACGGAGACATCAGACGATAACATTTGTGTGATTACACTGACAGTTGTGTCATTACTTGAACCTATTTTAAGAAAACGAGCCGAAAATAACTATACCCTATTATATAAAATAGCTTTATTATATCACTGTACATACATATAAAATGAGAATTTGTAAAAAATATAAAAATTCTGTTAAAAATCACCATCTAACATTCCCCTCGAAACTAAACAACTTTTGTGTGAAATATTTTTTACGAGACTAATTTGTTCTTGAGATACTTGCATTTATTTTCTTATTAATGATACTCGGTTGAAAAATTAGAATTATTACATGTTATTCTCTTTTTAAGAAAAAAAACACAGAATTATCTATATAATATCATAGTATATTCTAATAACTTTTTAAAGTTTTCTAAGCAAAATTACAACAATGTATTATGATAATATTGTCTTTTTCACGATGAAACAAAAGACAAAGGATTTTTTCGAAGTAGTTTTCTACAACGTTCATTGCATGTATTCGCAAATTGCCAGTGTTCACGATTACATTGTTTAATCTATGCGAGAAATCACGCGGCGAAGAACGTGCGATATCGCCGATCGATTCGCAATAATCGCCGACAGTGGACGAGGAGCGTTTATTCTTATTCGGCTATAATTATATCATCAGGATAAAAATGCTTCTCATATTGTCAACCGCAGAAGGTCAGGAACGGACCGTTACTTTTGTGAAATGGAATGCGTAAAAACCGGCTGATAAATAAAAAGGATTGATTGATGATGCTTAATGTAGCGGGTAATTAGTTCTGCTTTGCCTGTTAGCAGCGAGATTGCATTTAAACGCGTTAAGGATTTAACCTTGCATCTCAACGGATATTATTGTACATACTCGATCTGTCTTCCTCTCGTACCTGCTATTAACGACCCCCTTTTTGCGATCGGATTTTAGCGATTTGTCATCGCGCTCCATTAAAAAAATCCCATGTATTTAACAGTACGAATAATTTGATCCCTCAACAAATTGCTCGTCAATCTCGGAAGTCGTTTATCCTTCGCTAGAAATGAAGCAACGAAAATAAACGCAAGAGAATAATAATAGTTGTATATTAAAAACACACACCACGCTATAATTTTCGATATTTTATTAAGAAATGTTTTAAAAGACCTAAACATCACATTTCCCTTTTGCTTGTTCGTTTAATTCCCTCTATTTCTGCCGGATAACACTTGCAGAACACCGGATGTTTCTCGTTTCTTTGTCGCGATTTCGCTTCACGATCATGTTACTTGACAAAAGTTAAACTTTTCATCTTGGCCCCTCTCAGTAAGATACGTATCCTACCGAGAGAAACGTAAATCTGGCGATACGTTTTCGACGTTCCACACGAACATCACATATATCGCGCTCGTGTGGAGTCACGGCTTCTTATAAATTCGGGGTGGCCGCGTATATGGAGCGTGAGTCTTTCTCTCTCTCTCTCTCTCTCTTTTTGTGATTTGTTTATTTATGCATTCCGACGAGCCTCGCGGACGTAACGCAGGACGCCTAGCACCGCGACGCTTTTCGCGTCCCGTGTATATTTCTTCAAGCACGCGCACGCGCCACCGTATGCGTACGTCGTACGCACACGGCCGGAAATGTGTGCGCGAAACACACTCGCCGGCGGACACTCGTGATCGCCGCCACTCCGGATTCGATCGCGGGAACGACGTCGTTATTTCTCGCCCCGGGCTAACCGCAAAAATAAAGAATGTCAGACGAATGCTGGCGATCACGCCGCCAGATATAATAGGCGCTGCCACAAAGTTTTTGTTCTCTTTGATAGAATCGATTCGGCGCCGTCATGGTATATTCGGCAGTATCTCGATCTTACAGAGCTATTTATGCTCCTTCCTTTTTTTTATAAAATAAACAGTATATATA